GGAGGACGAAGCCCCCATGTGCGCGGTGTGCAGCGAGTCCCGGGCGCACGCCGCTCACACCGTGGTTCCCATGGAGGAGGCTGCCCAGGACTACAGGGTAGGAAACAGCTGTCCCGAGCAGGGAGTCACGCTGCAGCTGCTCCGCAGTCAGGCAACCCGTGTGTGTCCGATCAGCCCGGACCAGAGCCGGGACCTGCCGAGAGGGACGGGGCAGGCCCGGCCTCTCTGGCCAGCCTCCTCGGAGCTGGAGGCGCGCGCTCTGGGGGTCAGAGCTGTGGGCAGCGATCATGCAGCCTCGCTTTGTGCAAGGTTTGGGGGTTTTTTGCTGGCCACAAACTGAGGCACCAGACACATGTCCTGTGTTTGCAGGAGAAAATCCAGAGCTGCCTGGAGCACCTGAAGGACCAGAGAGAGGAGCTGCAGAGCTTGAAATGCACCTGGGAGCAGGAGAGCGAAAGGCTCCTGGTAGGTGCCTGGTGCAAGGACGGCAGCGGTGGCAGCCAGGGGGGTTGGGGATGGGAGCAGAGGAGATCTGCGAGTTATAAGTGGTGCAGGGCTGACTCAGCCAATTCCCATGGTGTAAATCAGGAGTGCCAGCACTTAGATCAAGGGAGATCCTGAAGTTTTACACTGGGGTATGGAGAACAGCTTCTGGCCCTGCCCTCTTGGCTGGGCAGGGAGGGGAGGGGCAGTGTAACTGCAACACATGTACTGGTCTCTGTGGGTTGGGGTGGAACAGGGGAAGGTTTCTGCTGGTCCCAGGGTCAGGCCTGGCAGAGGTTCCTGGAGCTCCCTCAGTGGGCCAGGCAGAACCGTTCGCAAGGGATGGCTCCTCCATCTTGGGCGAGTCAGGGCAGCGCTTTGCTCTCAGGGCCCTGCCCTGCAAACCCCTGGGTCATGGGGGTCCTGCTCCAGCTGGAGTGCAGGGGTGGCTGGGAACGGTGAGAAAATCCCCTTTTGGACTGGCAGGGCTACATCCCCCAGCAATGCCCTGGGCTGGACCCTGTTGGGCTGGAATGAGGTGTTCTGTGCAGCCTGGAAAAGGCCTGGAGCCTCTCCCCTGACTGTCCTGTCCTGTCCACCTCACAATGGCACCTCTATGCCCCATGGCCCTGCCCTGCCCTCCCATTTCCTCTCCCTGCCCACCCCAGAGGCAGACAGAGCTGGAGAGGCAGCTGGTGGTGTCCGAGTGCGAGGAGCTGCGCCAGCTCCTGGCTGAGCAGAAGCGCCTCTTGCTCACCCGGCTGGAAGAGCTGAACACAGAGATTGTGAGGAGGAGGGAGGAAAATGCCACTCGCCTGTGCAAAGAGACTGCCCGCCTCAGCACCCTGATCGGACGCACCAGGCGTCCTTAACTCTCTTCTGCCGGGAGGACGAAGCCCCCATGTGCGCGGTGTGCAGCGAGTCCCGGGCGCACGCCGCTCACACCGTGGTTCCCATGGAGGAGGCTGCCCAGGACTACAGGGTAGGAAACAGCTGTCCCGAGCAGGGAGTCACGCTGCAGCTGCTCCGCAGTCAGGCAACCCGTGTGTGTCCGATCAGCCCGGACCAGAGCCGGGACCTGCCGAGAGGGACGGGGCAGGCCCGGCCTCTCTGGCCAGCCTCCTCGGAGCTGGAGGCGCGCGCTCTGGGGGTCAGAGCTGTGGGCAGCGATCATGCAGCCTCGCTTTGTGCAAGGTTTGGGGGTTTTTTGCTGGCCACAAACTGAGGCACCAGACACATGTCCTGTGTTTGCAGGAGAAAATCCAGAGCTGCCTGGAGCACCTGAAGGACCAGAGAGAGGAGCTGCAGAGCTTGAAATGCACCTGGGAGCAGGAGAGCGAAAGGCTCCTGGTAGGTGCCTGGTGCAAGGACGGCAGCGGTGGCAGCCAGGGGGGTTGGGGATGGGAGCAGAGGAGATCTGCGAGTTATAAGTGGTGCAGGGCTGACTCAGCCAATTCCCATGGTGTAAATCAGGAGTGCCAGCACTTAGATCAAGGGAGATCCTGAAGTTTTACACTGGGGTATGGAGAACAGCTTCTGGCCCTGCCCTCTTGGCTGGGCAGGGAGGGGAGGGGCAGTGTAACTGCAACACATGTACTGGTCTCTGTGGGTTGGGGTGGAACAGGGGAAGGTTTCTGCTGGTCCCAGGGTCAGGCCTGGCAGAGGTTCCTGGAGCTCCCTCAGTGGGCCAGGCAGAACCGTTCGCAAGGGATGGCTCCTCCATCTTGGGCGAGTCAGGGCAGCGCTTTGCTCTCAGGGCCCTGCCCTGCAAACCCCTGGGTCATGGGGGTCCTGCTCCAGCTGGAGTGCAGGGGTGGCTGGGAACGGTGAGAAAATCCCCTTTTGGACTGGCAGGGCTACATCCCCCAGCAATGCCCTGGGCTGGACCCTGTTGGGCTGGAATGAGGTGTTCTGTGCAGCCTGGAAAAGGCCTGGAGCCTCTCCCCTGACTGTCCTGTCCTGTCCACCTCACAATGGCACCTCTATGCCCCATGGCCCTGCCCTGCCCTCCCATTTCCTCTCCCTGCCCACCCCAGAGGCAGACAGAGCTGGAGAGGCAGCTGGTGGTGTCCGAGTGCGAGGAGCTGCGCCAGCTCCTGGCTGAGCAGAAGCGCCTCTTGCTCACCCGGCTGGAAGAGCTGAACACAGAGATTGTGAGGAGGAGGGAGGAAAATGCCACTCGCCTGTGCAAAGAGACTGCCCGCCTCAGCACCCTGATCACAGAGCTGGAGGAGAAGTGTCATCAGCTCGGGCCTGAGCACCTACAGGTGAGACAGCATCAGACGTGCCCAGCGTAGAGATATGATGATCTCTGAGTCACAGGGACCTCTTAGTTTGATGCAGAGCAGAGGTCACAGCCCTGGGGTGCTTCTGCTTCTGCCCTAGTTTCAGGACCCAGCGTAGGGCGGTGTCCATCTCTGCAGAGCAACAGGGGTAGGAGGGGTCTGCTTCTGGTAGCACAAGGAAGGGCTGGGCTGGGCTGTGACGTGACATTGACTTCATTCTCTCTTGTCCCCTCCAGGGTGTCAGAAGTGCTGTGACCAGGTACATTTGGGCTTCATCTCCCCTCTCTTGTCCCACGGGCCAAGACGAGGTGGCAGCCTCAGCCACCAGCACCCACCTGTGCAGCAGTCTCTACTCTGGATCTGGCCTCCTGCATCCCTGTGGCCTTGATGCTGCTGCTGCCACCCTGTGACCTGCACTCCCTGGGGCTTGATTTTGATCTGGCCTCTGTAATGTCTGAAGTCTGTCCTGTCTGAGGGGCTCAGGAGCTTGTGGGGAGGGAACTAAGTGTCTCAACCCAGGCCCCAGGGGAACAGTGTCTGTGGGCAGAGACCTCACCAGGGACCAGGCCCCTTGGAGGCTGGAAATAAACCTTGAGAGCAGCTGGGCCTAGAGAATGGGCCCCTCAGTCCCAGAAGCAGCCTCTCCCTATCCCAGAGGGGCCTGTGATCAGGCCACATGTCAGAGGGACTCAGGCTGCCACTGCTTGGCCTGCATTTTCTCTGCAGATGGAGTGTGAACATCTCCAAGCCCTGCGTCATACAGCTCCCTGGACAAAAGCCCTGGGACAATCTTGTTACAAAAGAAACCAGTTCTTTCCCAGTACAGCTTTTCCCACTGACACTGATACAAGCCATACAGGGAATACTGCCGCTTTGCGGATGTGAGCTGTGGCTGCACAAGAAGGGTTTGCAGGTTGAGCCCTGCTGCAATAGCTCAACTTGAAACCTTCCGAGTACAAGCATCAACCAGAGGGGAGCCAGCAGACTGCACAGGCTGGCCAGTCAGGCAGAATCTCTTCCCTGTGGCCCCATCTCACATTCATTTCCCCATGTGGCCTTGAGGATCTGGGAAATTCTGGCTGTGAACTGAGAGGAATAAAATTGCCCATATGTTTCTGCAGGGGCGAGGAGGTGACACCTCTGCATCCAGCCCCCAAGTTTCCTGAGCAGAAGAGAATCCAGAATTTCTGTGGAGAGAAGAAGCTGCAGGAGGCTCAGACAGGATTCCTGGGTAAGGGGCACTTCTAGGGCCTCTCTTCCATGGTCCTGGGGTAAAGGCAGGGGAAATGAGAGTGGGTTGTGTAGTGGAAGCTGTGGAACTGGGTTATCAGAGCCTTTGTGTTCATGTTTGCAGAAGACCAGAGCTCAGCTCAGAGGTCTGTGCCCCAGCCCAGAATGACCCAAATCCTGGGAAAGCCCTTGGCACCCCAGCTCCCCAAGGCTGCACAGGGTGGACTCCATGGGGATGAAAGAAGCTGAGGACATCATTTGTCATTTCAAATCTGTGTGGTTCTGCTGTGTCCTGCTCAGGCCCTGGGCACTTAGCACAGGTCTGGTGCTCTTGGCAGCCCGTGCTGTACAGATGTGTGCTGTTTCACTGTCTCGGATTTGCTGCTTGCTGCTCAGATCCTGACGCTTGGAGATAGCACCATGGAGCCAGAGGCCCCAGTCTGAATGGACACGGACAGGGAGGGAGCCAGGGGTTCACTTCCCAAGGGCATTTCTGTGGGTGCATAAATCCCAGCCTTGAAGCATTCCCAGCAACAGCTTGCAGCAGGAAACTAGGGACGGCTGAAGTGAATTCCGTGAACAAAGTCAGCGAGTCATCGCAGGGAGGGTTTGTATGGATTGCGGAGCTCCAGAAAAGCTGTTCTGAGGGAAAGGGCCTTTTGATGCTCAAGTGTAACAGATGTTACCACAGATGGAGTCAGGTCTAGATCCTCAGTACCCTGGTCCTCCAAGGAGGATGCCTGATTGATCCCCCGCTGAGTCCAGATGGGGATGTGAGATTGAGGGATCCCTCAACACTGCCCCAGTTCTGCCTCTGGCTGGTTGTGGAGAGCCAAGGTTGTGAAAGGCACAGGCACTCCCTGGAGTCCTGGGCCAGACTCTAGAAGCAGTGCACACGCGGGGATGCTCAAGTGCAGCTGGAGCAGGTCTGTGCAGCTCCCAGCCTCTGCAGGAGAAATCGCTGTGGGTGAGCAAGTCAGGCTGGAGCTGCGTCTTCATTTTCAGCTTGGTTGTCAGGATGGGAGCTGGGGCCAGTCTCCTCCCAGGGGAAATGTCAGAGCAGGTCAAGAAAAGAAAAGAAAATATTTTTCACATTGATGCTCTGAACAGACCCTCCCACCCCCACCCCCATACACTTGTCCTCTCCTTCCTGCCCTTGTCCAAGTGCTGACATCGGTGTTCTAGCATTTCCTGGGGGCCTGATATGCTAGTGCCCTGCCCATGTGGTTGCCCCTTTCTCCCAAGCCACAGCCCTTCCAGCCCTGTTGGTGCCCTTCACTCCCAACCCACAGCCCCCTGACCCTGCCAATGCTCCTCACTCTCAACCTGCAACCCCCTTTCTCCACTCATGCCCCTCACTCATGATCCACAGCCCCCTGACCCTGCCAGTGCCCCTCACTCCTGACCCAGAGTCCCCCACCCCCTGGTGCCCCTCACTCCCAACCTATAGCCCCCTTTCCCCACCCAGTGTCCCTCACTCTTGACCTGTAGCCTCCTGTCCCCACCAGTGCACCTCACTCCTGACCCACAGTCCCCTGCCCCTCCTCATGCTCCTCATTCCCAAGCCATAGCCCCCTCGCCCCCCAGCCCTGCCAGAGGGGATCTCCAGCTGACTCCTCCCTGTCCAGCCCTGCACAGACTCACAGGATGGTGGTCTGTGGGGACACAGTGAGGATGGCCTCCAGCACGAGGTGCATGCAGCTCACCTTATGCAGAAGCACAGGTCGCTGCCCTGCACTGGGGCTGGGGTGCAGCCGGTAGGACCAGGGCCACACTCCACAGCAGCAGCATGAAGCAGTGTGGCTGTGGCCCCGCCATGCTGTGGGTAGCAGGAAAAGGGTGAAGGTCTCCAGGTCCCGTCCCACCCAGGCTGGAGTGCAGTGGCTCCAGCTCACAGGGGTGGTGACAGAGTGAGTCTGGCCCTGATACAGGCTGGAGAGAGGAGTAGGGGAGGCCTCTGTCACTCCCCAACTCAGGGTGGGGCTCCGGTGCTTCAACAGGTTGCCTGGCCATGCCCCGCCGGGCAGCATCTCCCAGCCACCTTGCCCCTGAGAGCACGGGCACCAGCCCCTGGCACCACCAGCCCAGCCACACAGCTCCCCACTGCCTCCAAAGGACCCCATCACCCCTTCCCCCACTGAAGAAGTAGGTGCCTCCAGGTGGACCCCACTGGCAATAGCATGGAGCTGAGCTCACTGGCAGCACCAAGCGCTGCTTCAGACCCCCTGCCTTGCCAGAGCCCCAGCACCCAGACACCTTCCCCGCCTCCACATCCCCACCCCCTCCAAACACCAGTGCAACTCAGACACACACAAATAGCCCCCCAGGCAGTTTCCAAGCCCTGATCCTCCAACCCCACTCCTTCCCCCCATAGACTTAACTGCATATAGCTGCTGGGGCTGCTCCCATCACCCTGCATGGCTGTATGCCAGCCACCTGCATGTGCACATGGATGTGATGCCCCCTGCCTCCAATTGCCCTGCTCCCGCTCCCTGCAGCCCCGAGCAGCTCCTTGCAGGCTGGAACAGTTCCAGCCTGTAAAGGGAACCCCACAGTGCCCCACAATTTTCTCCTTTAAAGGGGAAAATCCATGATTTTCCACAGCAAATGGAAAATAGGCATCATCGGCAATAGGTGCTATTCTCCTGTCCTTAGTTCTGCTTTTCAGTGCTCCCCACTGCCCTTTCCTCTTCCCTCCCTCACCCAGTGAACCCAGCCCTGATTCATTGCCCTGCCCTGGGCTGGGCTCTGTGAGGGGAGGAGCTGGCTGTGGGGTTTCCCTGGCTGCAGATTTATGCCCATAGGGCTGGGGACATGGTGGATCCCAGCTGGGGCAGAGCAGTCCAGCCTGGGGTGGGGAGGGGCAGGCACCAACCTGCTGTCAGCAGCAAACCAAGTAAACCAGCCCCCAGGGCACAGAGATCCCCAGGACCTTCCCCCTCTTCTCATCCCTGTCCCCCCTTTCTCTCTGGGCAGACTGCTCTCTGGGCCCCTCTGCTCCCCTGCGGTCTCCCAGCCCTTCTAATAGTCATCTTTTGTGGACCCTGATCTGTGACTCTTTCCACAGTGGATGTGACTCTGGACCCAGACACAGCAAATCCCAACCTTGTCCTGTCAGAGGATCGGAAATGTGTGAGACATGGAGACACCCGACAGGATCTGCCTGACAACCCTGAGAGATTTGATCCTTGTGTCTTTGTCCTAGGCTCTCAGAGGTTCACAGGCGGGAGGCACTACTGGGAGGTGGAGGTGGGAGACAAAACAGACTGGGCTCTGGGGGTGTGCAGGGAATCTGTGCGGAAGAAGGGGCAAGTCACATTTACACCTGGCAATGGGTACTGGACCGTGTGGCTGTGGGATGGAGCTTACAAGGCCCTCACCTCCCCAACGGCCCCCTTCCCTGTGCGTGTGCAGCCCAGGCAGGTGGGGGTTTTCCTGGACTACGAGGCGGGTGAGGTCTCATTTTACAATGTGACTGACAGGTCCCATCTCTTCACTTTCACTGACACCTTCTCCGGGACCCTGCGCCCTTTGTTCTGCCCTGGTATCAATGCTGGGGGCACCAATGCAGCTCCCCTGACCCTGTGTTCAGTCCCAACCCAGCCCTGAGGGAATCCCTGTCACTGCCATGACATGTGTGGCACAGACTGTCCCCTCCCCGTGCCACCCAACTGCCAGTCCCTCGGGGGGGGGGCCTGAGGTGGGAGTGGGGCAGAGGCTGGGGTCTCCCAGTCTTCTGGTCCCTTATATTTCCCTGTGCCCCAGGGTTCAGCTCCCAGTTCTCACACTCTCAGTGCCACTGACTGGAAGGGACTATCCAAATTCTAACGTTTCACTTGCACATCCCTAGGGATCTGGGTTTTCCATTTCCCCTGGAAAAACAGTAAAACATGGATTTCCCCCATTACCAGATTAAAATGTGGATTTCTCATTTTTGCAAAATCCAAGGGTTTCCCTGCTGTTTTGCAAAGAGCTCTCTGCAGGCTGGCAGAGTTCCAGCCTACAAGGGGCTGAGAGGGAGAGGGAGTGGGAGGAGGAGGGATAGGCATGGGCGCCAGTGCATGTATATGCACATGGCCCCAGGCAGCCTGAAGAGCAGCTCCCACAGGTAAGTGGGGGGGATTGAGGCCCCCATAGGGAGGGAGGGAGTTGGACAGGGCTGGGGCTGCTGTCTAGGCAGTGTGTGGGGCTTGGGGCTCAGAACCACAATGTATGGCCGCAGGGCCCCAGCGGGGAAGGAAATGGAGCTGCAGGTGGCTTGTTCGGAGGGCATGGGGGTGTGGTTGGCTCCCTGCAGCTGTGTACACTCCCAGGGGTAAGGGGGTACATGCTCCCCAGATCTGTGCGTGGGATGTGGACAGGCACAGGCTGCCCACTGCGGACACAGGTTCAGGCTCCTACCCTTCTGCCCTCCCACAGGGCCTCCGCACCCAGTGGGTGCAACTCAGCACAGTAGGGCACAGGGAGGCCACGCAGGAAGCTGCTTTCTGCTGCAAGCTCTGTGCTGCCCTGGTGATGTGCCCCCTGCACACAGGGCAGCAGTGGGGGGCAGTGGCATGGGATTCTTCCCCTTGCTGCTGCCCTGTGCACAGAGGACGTGGCAGCAAGCAGCTCTCCTGCATGGGCTCACTGTGCCCTGCTGTGCCAGGTTGCACCCACCGGGCTGCAGAGGGCCTGGGGGAGGGAAGCAGGGCTGGAGCCTAAGCCCTACCCACAGATGTGGGGGGTGCAGATCCCCCCGGCCCCCTAGAGTGCTCAGCGGGGGGAGCCAGGCGCCCCAAACCCGCAGCAGGGGGGGAGCTGGGCTCCACTCCCTGCAGCAGACACCACCTCCTGCAGGGAGCTGCAGACACAGGTTCCTGGCCCCATAGTCCTGGCAGCTGAAGGGCCCCTCCAGCAGGGCTGGGGGGGCAGGGGGCTGTGTGGGGGGGTCAAGGGGCACCAGCAGGGCTTGGGGTGCAGTGAGGGGCACCAGCAGGGCTAGGGGACTGTGGGGAGGAGTGCAGGGAGCTGCAGACACAGGTTCCTGGCCCCATAGTCCTGGCAGCTGAAGGGCCCCTCCAGCAGGGCTGGGGGGGCAGGGGGCTGTGTGGGGGGGTCAAGGGGCACCAGCAGGGCTTGGGGTGCAGTGAGGGCCACCAGCAGGGCTAGGGGACTGTGGGGAGGAGTGAGAGGCATGAGCAGGTCTGGGGGGCTGCAGAGGTCAGTGAGGGACACCAGCAGGGCCCAGAAGGGTTGTGGGGGGAGAGTAAGGGTGTCAATCAGGGATGGCGGGGATTGTGGGGGGTGAGGGCCACTAGCAGGGCTGGGGGCATGCGCTGTGTGAGGCCTTTCATTTTAATTACAGATTTGGGGGGTTTTGTCAGGTAATTTGCAATTTTTTCATAGTTTCATAGTTTCATAGTTTTAGGGTCGGAAGGGACCTAATAGATCTTCTAGCCCGCCCCCCCGCCAGGGCGGGAGAACCACTCACCCTAAAAACAAAAACGGGACTCAAATGAGTCCAGCCAGGTAGGCATCCAGCCTCTTCTTAAAGACCCCCAGGGTAGGGGCCAGCACCACCTCCCTTGGAAGTTGGTTCTAGCTCCTAGCCACCCTAACTGTGAAGTAGTTTTTTCGGATGTCCAATCTGTACCTCCTCTCCATCAACTTGTGCCCATTACTCCTTGTTATGCCAGCGGGGGCTAGGGGAAACAGCGTCTCCCCCAAACCCTTCTGGTTCCCCCCTAGTGAGTTTGTTTATAGATGGTCACCAGGTCCCCCCTCAGCCTTCTCTTGTGGAGGCTGAATAGGTTCAGGTCCCGCAGTCTCTCACTGTAGGGTCTGCCCTGTTGTCCCCGGATCATGCGGGTGGCCCTCCTCTGGACCCTCTCCATGTTGTCCACATCCCTCCTGAAATGGGGCGCACAGAACTGGACACAATACTCCAGCTGCGGCCTGACCAGCGTCGCATAGAGGGGGAGGATCACCTCCCTGGCTCTACTCGAGATGCACCTGTGGATGCATGACAAGGTCCGGTTAGCCCTGCCAACCATGACCTCGCATTGTCGGCCCATGTTCATCTTGGAGTCAATAATGACACCAAGATCCCTTTCCACCTCCGTGCTCTCAAGTAGGGAGCTCCCCATCTTATAAGTGTGCTGCTGGTTCCTACTACCCAAGTGCAGCACCCTGCACTTGTCCGTATTGAAACACATCCTGTTCCTGTTTGCCCACCCCTGTAACCTATCCAGATCCTTCTGCAATCTCTCTCTCCCTGCTAGCGTGCTCACCTCCCCCCAAATTTTGGTGTCATCAGCGAATTTAAACAGGTTGCTTTCCACCCCAACATCAAGATCGCTGATGAAGAAATTGAACAGCGCAGGCCCCAGGACCGAGCCCTGGGGGACTCCACTACCCACCTCCCCCCAAGTCGAGTATGATCCATCCACCACCACCCTCTGAGTGCGACCCTTCAGCCAATCTGCAATCCATCTGACTGTGTAGGCATCTATGCCACAGTCGCCTAGTTTATTAATTAGGATGGGGTGAGAGACGGTGTCAAAGGCCTTGCTGAAGTCCAGAAAGACTACATCCACCGCGACACCTGCGTCCATGGCCTTTGTGACCTGATCATAAAAGGCAATCAGGTTGGTCTGACATGATCTCCCCCTAATAAATCCATGCTGATTGCCCCTGAGCATCATTTCTGATGCCGGCCCATCACAAATGTGCTCCTTGATGATCTTCTCAAAGAGCTTCCCCAGGATTGAGGTAAGACTGACGGGCCTATAATTGCCCGGGTCCTCCCTTTTCCCTTTTTTGAAGATGGGGACCACATTAGCTACCTTCCAATCGTCTGGCACCTGGCCCAAGCACCACGATCGCTCGTAGAGCCGTGCCAGGGGCCCTGCAATAACCCCAGCTAGCTCCCTCAGCACCCTGGGGTGGAGAGCATCCGGACCCGCTGACTTGAACGCGTCCAGCCCCTCCAGAAGCTCTCTAACCCGGTCCTCCCCAACCTGAGGTCTGAAGGCGATCCCCTCGCGTCCGGCTTCTATCACAGCAGGGAAGTCCCGGTCCCTGCACAAGAAAACGGAGGTGAAGAATTGGTTAAAGAGGTCCGCTTTATCCTCTGACGCAACCACCAGATTGCCCCGCATATCCTGCAGGGGCCCCACATTACCCGGCGCCTTCTTCATCCTCCCAATATATTTGAAAAAGGACTTTTTGTTATCCTTAATCCTGGACGCTAATCCGAGCTCTATCTCCGCCTTGGCCTTCCTAACAGCCCGCCTGCAGGCCCGAGCAGAGGAGGTATACTCCTCTTTGGAGATTACACCCCCCTTCCACCGGGCGTACGCCACCCTTTTGGCAAGCAGGCATTCCCGGACACCCTTGGTGAGCCAGGGGGGCTTTTGGACACTCCTGCCCGCCTTGCTTCTTGTCGGGATGGACACCCCTTGGGCCCCGAGTATCGTTTCCTTAAGGAACGACCACTCCTCTTGGACGCTGAGTTCCTCTGCCCTCAAGGACCCCAGTTCCTCTCCCACTAATCTCCTCATCTCACTGAAGTTGGCCCTCCTGAAGTCTAGGGCCACCACCTTGCTGCGGGCCCTTGACACTCTACGCTGGATGGTGAATTCCAGCACGCGATGATCACTATTGCCCAGGTGGTCAAGAACCTGGAGGCCTCTTACCAGGTCGTCGCCTGCGGCCAGGACCAGGTCCAGCAGAGCATCTCCTCTGGTGGGACTGTGCACCTCCTGAATCAAGTGGAGGTCCTGCAACTCGGCCAAGAACCTCCTGGAGCGGTCCGTCCCGGCTGACTGCTCCTCCCAGCAGATGTCCGGGTAATTAAAATCGCCCATGACAACTACATCCCTTGCTTTTAGTGTCTCCGCAAGCTGGCCTGAAAATTCCCTGTCCAGCTCCTCCTCCTGATTGGGGGGTCTGTAATAGACCCCCACCGTCAAATCCCTCTCGCCTTGCCCCCCCTGGATCTTGACCCAGAGCACTTCAGCTCGCCCTTCCCCTGACCCCATACTGCTGGCAGAGGATGTGTAGTGCTCCTTGACATAAAGTCCCACCCCCCCCCCTGATACCCACAGGCATGCCAGAATAAGGAACATGGCTTTAAGTGAAGAGGTAATGTACAGGAAGAAAAAGTAACTATAGTATACTACATACAAGTAACTTTTTATATGTGGTTACATGTAGTTACCTGAAAGTCTGACCAAACTTATAGAAGTGATGCCACCAAATTTAATATTCACAGCGCCGTGCGTCGCCTGGTACCTGCGGCAGAAGGGCCCGGGGAGGAGAGGGCAGGGCAGGGAGCGGCCCGAGCCCGGCAAAACCAGCCAGGGGAAGGGGCAGGGATGCTGCAGCCAGGACAGCCCCCGCGCGCCTGTAGCGGAGCCGAGGGAGGAGCCTTTTTCTCTGGGCCGGAGCGGATGGAGGAGCGGGCTGAGCTGCTCCCCGACTTACTCCAGTAAGTCGTGCAAGACGCCCCGGGAGCCGGTGGAGGAGCGGGGGTGAGTGCCGCCAGGAGCAGGGGCGCCCTCCCTGCAGAGGAGACCCGAGCGGGGAGCCCTGGCCCGCGCTGCAGAGCCGCCCCCGGGGGAGCTGTGCTTGCGACGCTGCGGGCATGCGGCGGGCAGTACGATGGCGGAGCAGGGACACGCCTTGCGCGCCGCAGACAGCTGGGGAGCAGTGCCACTGAAGGGTCCTGGCGGGGCTGTTTGGGGTCAGGGCTTGAAGTCACGCTGTGATAATCCCTTCTGGTCTCCAAACTGGGCTTGGTGGGTTATCCCGTGGGCTGCTTTCTGATGCTTTCACGGTGCCAATCAATCAGACGTCGGTAGGTTTCTGTTGACGTGATGCCCTGTTTGGGGAGACTGAGGCACCACAGCCTCACCCCCTCACCCCTCTTGGTTACAGGACTACAAGAAATGCACACAGGGCTGCTTCTAGGGATGGAGGAGGGCTGTGAACTAGGAGCAAAGAAATGTTACCGGGAGCGGTTGGAAGACAAAAGAAGTGCAGGAGAACAGGCAGGGTAGTTGCAGGGAGGAGATGGTTCAAGAAGGAAGAGAGTAGCTATTACCTGGGGAGCGCAGGGAGACTAGGTGCAGTATCTGTTAGTTTGTAATAAGCTTCTGTGTTAAGCCTAGATTTTTTTCTTTATTTTTTTTTTAATGGTCCAGCTATGACAATTTGTTCCAAGGCCTGTTTTCTGAAGGGGTCTTGTAAGTACCTTTGAGTAAGAGGGTACTAAAGCCAGAAAGGGAGTGGTGGAAAGTCTGCTTGATCTGGTGCTTGTGTGTCCCTTAGGTGTTAGTTCTGTTGAAGCAAACAGTGCGGTTCTTAGAAGCAGTGATGTGCAGCACTTGCTACAGGCCAGGGGTGTCGAACACATGGCCCATGGGCTGCAATTCTGCAGTAAGGGAGTAGCCGCCATGGCTCCCTGAGCCAATGTCACTCAGTCCCTACATTCCCAGGCCTGGGGTCTCCTTAGTGACTCATTTCCATAGCACCGGGATGATTGATACTGGTGTGAACCCCCCACATTTCAGTCTGAGGAGATAGGTACCACCTGACATGAAACATCTTCAAACACCCCTTTACTACTGTGGAGCTGGCTTTCTGCAACTTTTCTAATCTCCCTTTGCATTCCCAATTATATAGTTCTCTCCTGGCTGAAGTAAGGACTGTTCTTCATAGAAATGCTCCTTTGTTTCAGGTGAAATATTTACCTTGGCATCATCATCACAGGGCACAGGCCAACAAGCCTGCAGAGGAGATTCCCAGGAGGATTAACAAGCAGGGGACACAGCCCCAGCTGCCTGGTTAAGGAAAGATACCTGAACAGACTGATTAGCAGCTGCCCTAGGGCAGATAAAACTGTTATGAGAAAGAAGGGGAAAGGGAAGCATGGCCAGGTCAGGAGAATCCCTTTTGCAGAGAGGAAGCTGCTAAGACAAAGGAGTCCCTGAGCTGGGCATACAGGGAAAGGCCAGTGAAGATCCCAGCCTTTAAGGAACAGTGCACCTTCCCTGTCCCAAGAAAAAGCGAAGCATCTCTTCTTTACTGAGAGAGTGGGAAGGGCCTGATCTTTATTCACTTTCCAGAGGGCTGGTGGGAGGGAAAAAAAGAGGACTAAAAAAGGGGTGAAGAGGAGGTCCCCACAGGAGCCCAGGTGAGCACAGCCAGTGCCCACTGATAGAGACCAGAGCTCCGCAGACGGGTACCATGGAGCTCACAGACCATGGCTTGAACTAGAAGAATAAGGGGACTATAGAGCAAGAGAGACAGCCAAGCCCCCAGGTGACATCCTCCTGAGCGGTGAGCAGTCTCCCCTCCCAAATCCTCATCGCATCTGAACCAAAACTGTATGGCAAGCACTGGAGCAGAGGCAGGCTTTCCCCAAGGTGAGGTCCAGGGTGGGAAGGCCAAGCAAGGACCCTACCATCCTGTGACACTCTGGTTCTCAGCACCCAGGGAGCATATGAATTTCTATTGCCAGGTCCATCCTTGGAAGGTGTTTTGTAGATTTTTCTGGAGGAAACAACCTCTCTGCTACATTTTCTTTTTTTTTTTGGTCTGTTAGCTACTGCTGATAAATCCCTCTTTTCTCCTTCATTAGAGCCCTCCTCCATTCCTCTAAGCAGACTGCTTTTATTTACATTTAGAGGAGGCCCGTGCAGAACTCCACAATATCTGCTACTTAGCTCAAGCTGTGTCTGCTTCTTTCTCAGTCAGGAGGAAGGGTACTTTGTGACCAGCATCTGGTCTGTATCTCTTTCAACTAGGCAGCTGGTCCAATAAAGCTTCTTTTTTTTTTTTTTAACTTTTCTGCAAACATCCTTGTTCAGGCCTAACTGCTATGCTTGCACCTGCTGTGGTTTAATTGTTGTTCTCCAATTTCTCCTTTCCTTCCAGCCCCATGACCTGTCACAGAGCAGGAAGAGACTCCTATGCAGTTCCTGGGGGGCCAGGGAGGGGAGAGCCATTCAGATTTTGGGCTGCAGGAAGGTGATGGTGTGGGATTGGGGTTCCCAGCCTGGAGCTGGGTGCCAGAATCATGCCTTTCCAAAACAGATGGACTAGGGCAGGACCTGCAGCCCAGCTGGTGACTTCTGCAGTCCTGTTTTGAATAATTTATTAATAGTTAACTGTGTGGGGGAGGTGGGATTTTGGTCATGGAGCAAAAGGACCTAGTCAAATTATTTGCTGCTGTGGGGAAAATAAGAATCTTTAAAATCCTGAGGTTTCTAATTTAATAGAGGGCTTAATCTGTGTGTCTATTGGTAATGGTTTTGCTCAAGTGCACATGTGCTGCTGAGATAGGGTTACCATGCGTCTGGGTTTCCCTGAATGTGTCCCTGCTCTTTTTAAGCCCTCTGATCACAATCTGGGCAGGTTTCTTTAAATCTGCCTGAATGTCCAGGATTTCCCCTTGCTCTGCTGGTGGGAGCAGCGGGAGGATGATCCAAGGCAGCCAGGAGCGTGAACAATAGGGCTGTGCGAAGCTTTGCCTGCTGTTTTGTTTTGATGATGTTTCGAATCATTTTACTCTCGAAACAGCAAAATCGTAACAAAACAAAGGGCTTCAAAACAGCCTTGAAGTGAAATGAAGCCAGGTGAAACATTTCAAAAGTTTTGAAACATTTGAATTTCAAAGCGGCCAGCCGGGTGGTGGGAGGCAGGGGAGAGCCAGGGCTGTGCTCTGAGCAGCTCCGCAGCCCCAAGTGGCTCTGCCTGGTGGGGAGCGCAGCCCTGGCTCTCCCTGCCTCCCACCGCCAAGCTGCTCTCCGATCAGCTCCGCCAGCTCCGTGGCACTCAGCCCAGTGGTGGAAGGCAGGCAGAGCAGCGCCGTGCTCCACCGCCAGCCACTGGGCTGAGTGGCACGGGGCTGCAAGCCGCTGGGAGCTGAGCCCAGTGGTGGGAGGTGCTTCCCCGCGCTGGGCTCAGTTCCCCAGAGCTCCTGTTTCGATGAAACAGAATGGAATAGTGCTTCTCAAACTAAATGAAACTTGAAATGAAACATTGTGCCATTGAAACAGAAGTCAAAGTGGGATGCTGCTGTTTTGCACAGCCTTAAAGAACAACTGGTTTCTCCTGCGACTGGGGTGGGGCACCATGGCGGCAAGTGGGGACCACCCCACTTTTGAAACATGCCAGCTCAGTGGTGGCCAATCTCGGGGGGGGCACATGCCCCCCGCTACATGTAGCCCGTGGCTGGGAGCACACAAGAGCGGGCCTGCTTGCAGCTGTGGAGGCACAGACCCCTGTGGTGCTCCTGCTGCTTCTGATCGCCCCCCCCTGCTCCCACCCCTGGAGCACAGCAACATCCCAGACATTTGAACAGGGCAGGGGGAGTGGGGGCTGCAGCTGTGACAGAGCAAAGTGGGGGGATGGTTTCCTGCCCCTCCAGCGGGGGAAGGGGGGGTGGGGCAGTGCGGAGCTCCTTGGCTGGACGGTGGCAGTGCAGGTACCTGTACTCGGAGGGGCTGAGCAGCAGAAGCCGCTGCCCAGGGCGCGGGAGAAGGAGGGGGCCCTGGCCAGGTTACCCGCAGGGTACTGAAGCCCTATCCCAGGGCAGGGGGTGCCACAAGCCTCCCCTCTTTTCCCATCCAGCCCACGCTGGGGCCGGACATGCTCTGCCACCACCTGCATCAATTGGAGCCACTGTGCTCCGGCCCGGTCAAGACAAGGACAGCTGGGGCCCTCTGGCCACGCTGGGGGGCAGGGGCCTGCGGGTCAGAACTGAGGGTCATGGGGCTAGGGAGCAGGGACTGTGGGTGTGAGGGGCACCATCAGGGATGGGGGGTGGGGGGCTGTCAGTCAGGAGCGAGGGGCACCAGCAGGGATGGCGATGAGGGGCTGCGGGTCAGAAGTGAGGGGCACTGGGGGCCAGGGTACTGCAGTTTAGTGAGTGAGGGGCATGGGCAGGGCTGGGGTCAGTGGGTTGGGAGTGAGGGGCAGCAGAATGGGCAGGGACAGGGCCTCCCTTCTGTGCCAGACATGTAAACACTCCTTTGAAATCTATCGTTCGTGACAGGAAATCAGCAGATCAGCAAATCAGTAGATTCGGGGTCAGGGAGAATTAGACACATTCATGTAAGTTATCTCTGCATGCAAGCAGAAAACACAAGTTATTTCTCCGCGCATAGGAAACAAATGGCTCGTGCAGTGATCAGTGATGGTTTTTTCCATGCTGTAGAGTCCTCCCAGCAGAGCTGTGTGCACTGGGCACGGAGAAAAGATACAGGTCATTGAAGTGTCTTGGTTTCTTGAGAATGAGACATGAAGGAAGATTTAAAGTAGGAAAGGCTTCTTGAAGACCTCTAGAGGCCTAGGCATGGAGACCCTGTGCTGAACCTGCCTGCTGGTCATTGCTGGCCTGCCTTTGAACTGAGCTGGGTCATTTCACCTGCCAACAGAAAACATTACTGACTCCTGCCCTATGGTGATAGCGGTGGTGGCCTTCATTCCTTGCTGTGGTCTCTGCAAATCCATTCCACATGGTTTT